TTTTAACTTGTATATGTGGTAAAAAAAATTTTTTAATAACTTTTAGGTGTACTTATAGCCAGGTCCCCACAGAATCTGTCCTTACAGAGGTTTTCAGAAAACAGAAAACTATGCAGATTTCTGCCAAATTGAAATGGCTATCATTCACAAAGTTCTCCACATTACTCACGACTTGGTTTATTTACTAATTTGGTACACTTAAAAATGTTTTCAGCTACAAAGCATAGTTAGTACAGTTTAGCAATTCCATTCCACACAATTCTATAGATTTTCCCCAAAAACTAGAGCAGAATATGTGAAAATAGTCCACAGATTCTGTATAGATAACATAGATTTGCCTCAAAGCAAACACCATGGAATTGGAGTTTAGACTGTGCTGGTTGTGTTGTGGGGTTTCCTATTTTTTAGCAACCTTTTTGATTATGATTGAAATTGCATCGCAGGTCTACATATCATATCTAACTTGGACGAGGTGGTGTTTATCCAGAACCTGGTTTTCTACATCGAGGCAGCGTACAAAGTGGCTGTAAGTTCTCATTGGTTTATCACGTTCTTAGTTAACAGTTACCGAACTGGCATCACAGCTCACACTCCCCTGCAGGATTATGGGATGTGGGAGAGAGGAGACAAAACCAATCAAGGAATTCCTGAACTAAACGGCAGCTCTGTTGGAATGGCTAAGGTAGGAGAGGCATCTGGTCTGGTTTAGTCACTCCGCTCATTCAGAAGTTGATTTTTGTTTGCTGTTCACATTGTTAGGCAGCTTTGGAGGCCATTGATGAGCTTGACTTGTTTGGAGCTCATGGAGGCCCAAAATCAGTGATTCATGTTCTCCCAGATGAAGTAGAACATTGTCAGGTAAATGAATCAATTGAATGTGTTTCGTAGTTGGTTATTATTTTACAGACCAGGGCTGCATTTCCGAAAATCATCATTGGCACCATTGGTATATACTGTATGATCTACTTATGCTTACAATGGTTTTGGGAGATGCAGCCCAGGTTTATTCTTTAGTTTTTAAGTCAGTGATTCACATTTAAGATTATGTATTTTTTTTCTCAATCAGTAAAAGATATCCATGATTTCCAGAGTCAAACATCTTGTTTCTCATTGTGTTTCTAGTCTATCTTGTGCTCCATGCTACCTCGAGCTTCCACCTCTAAAGAGATAGATGCCGGTCTGCTCTCTGTCATCTCCTTTCCTGCGTTTGCAGTGGAGGATGCAGATCTGGTCAACATCACAAAGAGTGAAATCATCACCAAACTGCAGGTACTGGGCCATTAAGGAAAAGGCTATGCTGGTTTAGTGTACATGCAGAACATTTCAGATTTTTAATGAAATGTAATTTTATTACTTAATTTTATTTTTATGGGAGAGCGAGAGTGTGTAAGAAAATGCATTTTTTTTAAATTCCTCTTTTCGGGTGATTATATCTGGGGGGTAATTAAAAATGGTCAAGCAACCAACTGCACCACTTGAGATAGAATGAGCCATGTATATTATATAATATTATTAAAAAACTTTGGAACTCTGCCTGATGGTGATGTTAAAATAGAGATGGGAGGACAAATTATATTTCAATGGTGTAAGCTCACAAAACATTTGCATTCTCTCTAAAAACCTTAGTGATGGAAATAATAGTTGGGAGGAAAAAAACATTTCAGTGCTTTTGCAAGTGAATGCAAAGTTTCTCAGGGGAGCGCAACAGTTTTACAAGAGGGTGCAAAGATGCAAAAGTTTTGTGAGAGAATGCTAATGTTTTGAGAAAGAATGCAAAAACTTAAAGGGGTCATATGATGCTTTTTTAAAGATCATTATTTTGTGTATTTGGTGTAACAGAATATGTTCACATGCTTTAATGTTCAAAAAACACATTATTTTTCAAAATACTGTACATTATTGTAGGTCCTCTATGCCCCGCCTCTCTCAAACGCTTCGTTTTCTACAAAGCCCCCTCCTT